GTGTTGCTCACGGTGGCCGGTTGGAGCAAGAAGTTATCCTGCGGCGTTCAAGGTGACCATGAGGGAGAGCAGCACTGCCGGGGATAAACTGCAAAGTCCTTTGGGCGCTACGGAACAGCAGTGGCATGCGACTCGGGCACGGCGGAGGGGCAGCGCGGACGCGGCGGATGCACCTGTACGCAACCGACTCTCTCTCTTTCTCTCCCTTTTGCTCTCTATAAAAATCTGATTTCTCAAATTATGAAAGCTCCTCTCCCCAGATTATGAGACATAAACATATATTTATAGTGTAAACCTAGGTCAATTAGCCGGGCTTTCTAGTCCTAATGGGTTTAGGTTTAGGCTTTAATTTAATTCTAAGTGGGCTGAATTAATTTGGGCTTTTCTTTAATCAAGCATAATGGGCTAATTTAAGCTCAAATTAAGACAACCAAGCCCTTTTGCGTGTGATTTTTGGCCCATGCTTTCCGAGTGAGCGGAGTCTCGTTCGATACCCGAGCTCGATTTACGTGATGAATTTTAAGCTCGCTTACCACCGCTGATCCGATGCGAAATGCAGTTAATCTATATGAACCTAAACTTTATGCTATGCGATTTGTAATATTTTTGTTCAGGGGTTAAAATTTAATCCCTAATTTTCTATGTAATTAACCACTAAATGATATGCCGAAATTTAGGTGTCAACAATAGAGTTGACTGTGGCTCTCCCAGGTCAAACATATGTGATGGTTAAACTGAGGAAATGCTTCAGTTTTTAGCATAAGATCCAGCATATGAATATTTATTTTAATGTAAATAGTCACGAGTGGGTGAGCAGTAGTCCATGACGCAATGATTTCAATCACCTGTCCTTTTCTTATAAGCGTCTTTCAGAATTTTGCCTTCTTTAGATAAGTTAGAAGCCATAAAAGAGCGACATGACTTTTATTTTAGGGTTAATACCACGGAAAACCCTAAACTGGTACACTTGTGACACATTTACCTCAAACTATTTTTTTTACCATAAAAACCCCAAGCCAAGTACACTTTGTGACAATTTTACCTCGAACATACCACAAAAACCCCAAACCTAGTACACATATGACAATTTTACCCCAACTAATTTTTAATATTATTTTTTTTATTTTTTTGAATTTTTTTGAATTTTTTCTTTTTTCTTTTCTTTTCTTTTCTTTTCTTTTTTTTTTCTTCACTTCAACCTCTGGCCGGTCGCCGGTCCGGCGACCGGCCAGAGGCGGAAGCCGGCGAGGGCCGCCCTCGCTCGACTCGGCAAGGGCGACCCTCCCCGGATCTAGCGAGGGCGGCCCTCGCCCGACTCTCAGCGAGGGCTGTCCCCCGCCCGCCCAGCGAGGGCCGCCTCACCCGGGCCGGCCGCGAGCGGCAGCCTGGCAAGGGCTGACCCTCCCCGACGCGGGCGAGGGTCGCCTCGCTTCGAGCCGGGCGAGGCTGGCCTCAAGCCTCGACGCCCGGCGAGGGCAACCCTCGCCCGACGCAGGGCGGGTCGCCCTCGCTGATCCGGCGAGGCGGCCCTCGCTGATACCTGGCGCGAGATCGCCCTTGCCTGGGCGGGCGAGGGCGGCCCTCGCTCGGCGCCGGGCGAGGGCGGCCCTCGCCCGACGCCGCGAGGGCGGCCCTCCCGACGCGCGGCGAGGACGGCCCTCGCTGGGCTTCCAGCCTCCCCGGCCGGTCGCCCGGATCGGCGACCGGCCAGAGGTTGAAGATAAAGAAAAAAAAATAAAGGAAAAAAATAAATAAATAAATAAATATTCGAAAAAAATAAAAAATAATATTAAAATTTTAATTCAGGGTAAAATTATCACATATGTACCAGTTTGGGGTTTTTTGTGGTAAGTTCAGGTAAAATTGTCAGTATGTACTGGTTGGGGTTTTTATGGTCAAAAAATAGTTTGGGTAAAATTATCACGCAGTGTGTGCCAGTTTGGGGTTTTTTATGGTCAAAAAAATAGTTTGGGGTAAATGTGTCACAAGTGTACCAGTTTAGGGTTTTTCGTGGTATTAACCCTTTATTTTAATAAAAGTTTAACTATTCAAGCACTTTTGTTGAATTTCTTTCCATAAAGTTTAGGTCGACATGACAAAATTCAATTTTAATCTGTACTTTTTAACATTCAGTCAATTTCGTCGTCGTTGTTGTTGTCAATGTCCTTCAATCAGACAAGAATCTAATCAAATTCTAAATATTTGATAAACATAAATTACTAAATGATTTTTTTAAGGGTTAATATCATGAAAAACCCCAAACTGGTACACTTATGATAAATTTACCCCAAACTAATTTTTTTATCACAAAAAACCCCCAAACTGGTAGACCTGTGATATATTTATCTCAAACTAATATTTTAACCACTAAAAACCCCAAACCGATACATTTGTGGCAAATTTACTCTCCGTTAAATTGGATTAATACCATAAAAAATCACAAACTAATACACCTGTGACAAATGAAGGGTAAAATCCCAAACTAGTACACCCATCAACTACCACGTGTCATTAAACTAAAAAATTTATTGATAAAATTTAACGAAAACTAATGGATGGTATAATTGTCATATATATACCAGTTTAGGGTTTTTTGTGGTAAAAAAATTAGTTTTGAGTAAATTTATCGTATGTGTACTAATTTGGGGTTTTTGGTGATATTAACCCTTTTTTAAATATGAATGAGAGATGAATGTTCAAGTTCACAAGAGATAACTCATTATTCTCAAATCATCGTACTAGCGTGCTGCGCTCAAAAACCCATTTTAGAAGTCCAAATCTACGTTTTTCGATACGTGCATAATATGAGGAAATAACGTATATAATTAGAATTAGTTGAAAGTTCAAAGAGTCTTGGATAATTTTTGTTAGAATAGTAGGATAATGACATTGCAACTATATGAATTTTTGCCCGATATTCAATCTGATACGCAATTTTCTTTGTTCAAAACATGGCATAATGTGGTAATGACGTGCCATATCATGAGTTCTCCCTAACTTAGGTCACCCCCTCCGTAAAAATCAAGAACTATTGCCAAGTAAGAGGGTGAATTCAAGTGACAACGAATTTGAAATCGACCGTTTTTTTCTTCTTCCTTTTCCTCCATGCGTATGTGGTCGCCACAACTCTTAAGTCACCTCTGTTGGAGGTCAAAAGCCGGGGAGAGAATTATACTAATGCCAGTTCAGTTTTAAACTTTACAATTTAGCCAATTCAGTCATAAATTTTTACTTGAAATCCCAATGTAGTCGTTCCGGTTAATTTTTGCCGGAGAATGCTAATGTGACGGTGTGCCACATAGGACAGTCAATGATGACTGGATCGTTGTATCAACGATTTTCCGGCAAAAATTGATCAGAATAACTATATTGAAATTTCACGCAAAATTTTTATGACTAAATTAACAAAATTAAAAAGTTTATGACTAAACTAACATTTATACAATACATTTATGACTAATTGGGTAACTTCTCCAAAATCTAATGGTGGTGGTGGTGTTGCTAGTGGCAATGGTGATGAGTGGTGGGTGGCAATGTGCAATGGTTGGAAGAAAAATTATTGTAGAGAGAGAGATGGGGAGAGAAACATGACCCGAAAACATGTAGAAGGCTAGATTTAATAATAATAATGACAACTTTACGTGAATAATTTACGAACCGGGTAATCTCGTCATATTTTTCATTTAAGTAAACAAGCGAAAGTTCGGGTAGTTAATTAAACAAAATAAATAATTGAGGTATTAGATATGGGTGAGCATGATCTGGGTGGGCAGTTCCCACATTGGAACCGTAAACTGCCCACTAAGGACAAGTTTCAAAAAATTAAAACTGGGAACTGCTCGTTGGCCTGATCCAATTCCCGAGTGGGTCCATGAAACTGGTCTCCAATCTATACACCGGTTTGTAGCTAAGATTAGTATAAACTGATTTGTTTGGTCTTTGATTGATCAAGGAAAAACAACATTACATATTGATGGCTATACCTTGGAAATCTTAATACCATAATGCCTTTCAATTGATATATGCAGATCAAATCGATCGCGAATCTCACACAGGCCTAAACAACGTATGCTCACAAAATGATTTCCTTTGTCCTTCAAAGGAAGTCTAGACGGACTAAGAAATGAAACTCTACTTGCTCGATAGACACATGAACGACGAGTTAATGTTCAAATGATGAGTACTTGTGTATTTCAATTGACATTTGATGCTCTCCTAGTTTTATTAGTCCATAAATCTTGAAAGATATACCAGAGAAGGCGTTTGTATTTCAATTGACACAAGTCCTTGCTGAATCTTCTACAAAGTTATAGTTGACGGTCGAATTTTGCTTTTTTACATATATATATATGCCGGTTCGGTCTGGCTGGGCGGTTCCTTGCTTGGAATCAGATTGGTACTTATCAATTCCAGTAAATTGGAATTGGGAATCGGACCGGCCTCCATGGGAACCGCCGGTTCTAAGCCGATCAGATTCGATTCCGGGCGGTTCTCGATTCCTTTGTACATTCCTAATATTAGATGTAACAATAACTAAAGTATGATTTCCTTCGTATCATTATCGGAGATATTCTAACTCACCTTAGGGTCTTTGGTTACCGTTAACCCTAGAGATTATTGCTTTGAGGAGTGGAGAGTAAAACCCAGAAGGCTCTCTCCTGTACGCCTTGTTTTATGTCTTGACGGCCGGACCTCCTCAAGCCCCTCTCCGCCCCCACCCTATATATTTATTTTCCCATAGAGGAGGAAATACCCATTTATGCTTTACATTCCGAGGATAAAGATAAAAGCTTTTTAAAGACGTGCTTAGGTTTCTAATAATATTAATGCTTAGGGACGAAAAGGAATAATGTTAATTTCGGTCAACGTCGACTTCAAGTGCTCTCGACAGAACCAAAAAAGGCGAAAAAGCGTTTTTTTTTTGGGGTCAAAATCCAACGTTGAGCTCCTCGATAAATATCTGAATCTAGCGACAGCACAGCACGCCATCGAACGACATTTATATAGACATCGGCCACGACCCGACCCGACTAGGGTTTTCGTGTTCCGATTCCGATTCGGAGATAGTGGGGGAGGTGAAAAGGGGAAGAGAGGAAGAGGAAGAATCGATTCAGCTCCATCCCTCGTCGTCGGCTCCACAGCGGAAGATTCTTGGTTCCTCGCGAACGATAGCCGCTCGATCGCGCCGTGAACGAGGTCGATCGCCTTCTTCTAGATCTGGGTCGATCTCCTCTTTCGTGCCCGAATCGTGTTTCGTGTTCTTTTTGGGTGGGGGAGCGCGCGCCTCTCTGTGAGCCATGGGGAGAGGAAAGTTCAAGGGCAAGCCCACGGGTCGCCGCCAGTTCTCGACCCCCGATGAGCTCAGTAAGCTGGAAAAACCGCCAAAGATTTCGTCTTTCTTGCGAAATTTCGTCGACCCTCTTTTCGTCGCGTTTGGTATCGCGTGTTGTTGTGGGGAATAGTCCGTTCGTTGACCTTTCAGAATATAGTTTGTTTGGGCGTGATCGGGCTGGATTTGGGTGGTGTTCTGTTTTGCTGGATCTGTTGGTTTTGAGATCTTGGTGATTGAGGAAATAAAGTGGAACTTGGGAGGAGGAGGTGGTGATGATGATGTTTTAGAATTTATCTGGAAATGGTGTTTTTTTTTGCTTTGCAGTTGAGTTTTGATTTCATAGTCATGGATATTGAGAAAGAAAGAATGAGGATGGTAGTGGGGTCTACACTGTAGTATGATTGTCCCGTTGCAACAGGGAGCGACGTGCAATTTGATCTGAGCCTAGATAACATAGTTGTCAGCTAATGATTCTAATTTTCCACTGGTAAAATTTTTGATAATGGAAAGGGTACGGATGTTGTTTATGGAATCGAATGCGTTTTCTCTTTCGACAGTATTTCCTTGTGGGAACAAGGTGGGTTTTTTTTTGTCAATTTGATGATTAGGATTACTTGATATCCATAACAGTGATTACAATGAGGACCCTCTGAAAAATGCCCTCTAAAAGCAATGATTACAATGAGAGAGAGAACTAAGTTTGAGTTCTGTGCTCTCTTACTTCTGAATATCCTAAAGTCAATATTCAGAGAGATTGCACTTGGCAAGCTCTCGCAGTTGCTATCTTTTGATGAACCTGTTGTGTTTTTGCTTGACTTTATACCTGGCTAAGCTGGCTTTGTTGTTTAAATTGTTGCAGTCGCGGGTACTTCCAGTCGTCCTCGCACATTCAAACAGGTCTCTCTCTCTCTCTCTCACGGAATCTTGAGTGCTGGAGGGCTTTTGTTTTATTCTTTCACACTATTTTACATGATAGTATACTACAATAAGTGTGTATTTTGTTCTCAGGAAGAAGCTGAGCGCGTAGAATCTGAAGAAGAATCAGAAGAAGAATCAGGAGAAGAGTCTGGTGAAGAGACTGAAGTGAGTAATGCACGCCTGCCTATTTCGGTTGAAAAGGTCATTTGATTACGTTTAATTGTTTATGGCGAGCTTGATTTTGTTGAACTTTTTGCAGAAGCGGAAAGGGACTGAAAGTGTTATTCAAATTGAAAATCCAAATTTGGTGAAGGCAAAGAACTTGAAAGCTAAAGATGCTGATGTAAGTTTGTATATCTCTGGATACATTTTAGTGTTGCCAAAACATTGGCGATCTGCTTCTTAAAATCCCACTGGGTGTTGTCTTTCAGGCGAGCAAGACAACGGAACTTTCAAGGCGGGAAAGGTTTGTAGATGCTTATTTGCTTCTCTCTATGCGATTGCTATTTGCTTGCATTAGGGTTGAACGAAAGTTTTGGTGTTTTCTTAGGAGTTGTTTATTCAAATTGCAACACGCAGTTTTCTGACTTTCTTGAAATCTTAATGTTCTAGTCATTCTTGGTTTCTTTAGCTTGAATTTGAAGTTTTTGAATTTTTTTATTCATTGAAGAAGTATTCATCTGTTAATTGTCTTTACGTGAGCAGGGAGGAGATAGAAAAGCAGAGAGCTCACGAACGATACATGAGGCTACAGGAACAAGGAAAAACAGAGCAAGCCAGGAAAGATTTAGGTAAGCAGTGTTTGGTTGAACAGAAACAGAATTTCATGTGTCCATGTATATTTATATTCTTAGTTTTCATTAGTCATATGGGTAATTCATTGTTCACATGTGCAACATAGTTGGGTATTATTACCTATATCATGTAAACTGTGGTGTAATTATGCCCTTCCTGAAGTGGTTTCGATATTTTTTAGCATCTACTACGGGGAGGCAGTGGACTTTCTAGCTAGTTAACTATGATATTCAAGTTATGACAAAAAAAACCTACTATACTCGAGTAATTTTTGGTAGTGTTTGCTGTGTAAAAGTACTGACGAATAACTATCCTATTAAAGTTCTTATTGACTTTGGAAAGGAAACTGGCTTGCTTGCTCACATGCTATTAGCCCACTGACTTTGTCTTTAAGTAGAACTACGGCTATGCTTTGAAGTTAGTAGTATGAACATCTTGGTGAGTTTAGATTGTGTATTGCAATGAGTAAGTATATCAGACTGATGGAATAAGTATCTTCATTTTGATGAAGATGGAGCGAGAAGTCAAGCAAGACCGAGGTTGGTAGACAAGTTGTTGCCTTGTCGGCGAAGGGGAGGGAAAGTAATAACTTGACTTGTAATCTGTAAGATGTAGTTAAGTCAATCAATCAAAACAAAAAGAAGAAAGAAAAAAAGAAAAGAAGGATAAGCAGTGTTGTGTCTTTTGTCTTTGTTGATATGCCAGTGAAGCCTAACATAGTTTAAAATCTCATTGCTAAATTTTACTGCCGCAAAGTTTAATTTGAGCCCCTCATTTTGGACCTACTATTGAAGTTTAATGTTGAAATTATTCACTTTTAGTCATATTCACTCATGATGAATGATATTAAAATACAATCCCGGATATCATAACTCTTATTCTAAGTGAACACTAGCTAACCAGGGTCAGGTTTGATATTGGTGTCTAAATAAGTGCTTGCACATATTATGTCAGTGGCATCTGAGCTTTCTGTATGAATCTCATCTGTGACAAATCCAACTAGGAAGAAAGGGACCAGACAATGGGAAATATTATTGTCTTCTCTTTTTTTTTTCCTTCCCATATAGATGAGAAATGTGCATCGCCGTCCATAGTAGGATGTAGAGTTGCCTCCGTAAGACTGTAAGACTAATATCTTTTTCATTGTTGGTTCATAATTTAAACCGTACAATTTGATTCAATTCGTGTATGAAGCGATTTGTTTCGAGGGTGTGAACCAAGTTAAAAAAAGAATCGTCCAATTTAGTCGCGATTCATTTACGACTCGGCTGCTGATGGACCAATATAGCTATGCATGTTTCTATAAAGTGTGTCACTTAATATTAATCTAGAATCTAGTGGTCTAGCAACTTGAAACCTAATTTGAGTTTGATAGGTGAATACATACATTGAACAACTAGATGAAAGCTAAAAAAATGACTGATGGAAAAGTGAGGATATTCTTATATGTTATAACCATGCAAACCACAAAGTCAATCTTGACTATACTTCTCCTTGTTGGTGTTATTGAATAATCATTATCATATCCATTCCCTTCTCCATTCTAGTTTTGGTTTTGGTGCTCATTATTGCGCTCTTATTTCCTGCAGAGCGTTTAGCCCTTATTCGGCAACAAAGAGCGGAAGCTGCCAAGAAGCGAGAAGAAGAGAAAGCCGGTAATTCTTCGAGGCTGCTATATTTCTCGTTCTGGTTTCGCCCTTATCACCAAAAACTGATTCAAAAACTCTTTCATCTACAGCCAAAGAACTGAAGAAGGCAGATGCTCGCAAATGATCCTTAGAGAGAGCGCACAGAGGAGCGTTCTCTTGCAAAACAACAAAAAGAATATGTGAAGATTAAAGACATCACTTTTCTATTCTAGCAATTGGTGCAAACAGTATATTTTATCTTCCCAGTATTACTACTGAAAGCATGTGGTACTGTTCTCGATTGGCCTTCGTATGAGTAAAGGCGTTTCTGATGACTATTTAGAAAATCTACCATGTTTGGCTTGTTTGCAGAGCAATATTTTGCTCAGGAGTAGCTACGTCAGGTGACTGCTATTTCCCGTGGTACTTCAGGCTGAGAATTGCGTGGATTGACCGTCAATTAAGATATGGATTACACTGATAAAAAAGACTGATTACAAGAACAAGTCTATTTGTGTTAAACTTCTTTATAATAGCAATGATGGGTAGACGCTGCCAAGCATCTCTGCTCAATGTACCCAAGGTTGATTTTGAAGTTAGAATATGAGGTTTCAAAGTGATTGAATCTTCTATGATCATATCTGAGAAATACAGTGCACTCATACGATGAGGACAAAGATGACCCACTTTTCAAATATTTTAAAAAATATTATGTACTTTTACTCGAGGGACAAAAATGGCCGTAGACAGCGGAAGTTTGAGCCAATTTTAAAATGTCATATATCATATAACCCTTGGCAACATTGTCCAATCAAACTTCGGACGTAGCATAAGTGTCCATGAATTACTAGTTTGATCAGTTATGCAAGTATTTGTCAATCAAATTGGATTGCTGCGGTGTATGATCGTTTGGATGAAAAAGATACCAGTGGTCCTTTTTATCCCTCAAATAAGAAAATGTGCTTTTTTTTTGGGGACATTTTGTAAGCGAGGCATTATAACTGGGATTAAGCCAATTTTCTTTAGTATTAGGTGGCTCAAAAAGTTTCTTTATAGTCGTGGTGGATGTACTGGGTTGAAGTCGGGTCTTGAGGTCCTCGCTTAGCAGAGTATGCACGGAGGTAAATGTAGTGTAGAGCGATATATGGACGACTTTGTTGGCAGTGAAACATGACCGAGAAGACAAAAAAGGTGAGAGAGAGTGTGTGGAGCTCTCACAATTAGGTAAATGACACAAATGATTCATGAACTTTTGCCCAACGTATAATGTCGACCCTGAACTTTTTATTTGTTCGATGTGGCCCCTGGACTTTTTGTACATATACAATTTAGTCCTTGGATTGTATGGAAATGTTTAGTATTGTCCCCGAACTTAAATTAATGGAAGGACATCATTGAATAATTTTATACAGTTCATGGACTAAATTGACATGTACCAAAAGTTTAGAAATCACATTGAACAAATTAAAAGTTCAGGGACGACAATGCATATTAGGCCAATGTTCAAGCACCATTTATGTCATTATCCCCTCACAGTTCTTAGATCTATTTCCCGTGGACCGACTTGATTACAAACACCAATTTCCTAGGCCTGTTCGTTTCATTACACCCTCATAGTTCTTAAGTTACACTTTATCCTGTTACTTCTTCACTAACAAAGTGCGGTTTTGCTAAGGACTTTGGTGAATCAGAAATGTCGATTGTGTTAGAAACACAGTAGAACTAGAAAACGATTGTTGTACGACTACTGTCCACCCTAAGTGAAATGAAATCTTTCGCCGTCCTACGCTACGACCTGTTCGACGAAGAGTCTACGTTCCTCACCGGGTGCTTATGGCGCGTTTGGTAATGTTTCTGTTTCTGGAAACAATTTCTTTTAGAAATAGTTTTTTCCATTTCTATTTCTAGGATGAGTTTCTGAGCAAAATAATGCGTTTGGTAACTGCACAAAATTTCTATTCCTAGAATAGAAAAAGAACAGAAATGCGTTTGGTACAACAAAAAAAATTTCTATTCCCAATTTTTTTCATTTAATTATAAAAATGTCAGTGAAGACTTAGCAATTCATGTTTGGATAAAAGTAGACTAGAAATATAATCAAAATATATTATGATATAGAATTTGATGACCTTAACATAATCATAAAGAAGATTACTCCTTGTAGACAAAGCAAATACTGGGTAGTGGTCAAGGAAATTGGGGTTTAGCATTTATGACTTAGGTTTTTAGGGTTTTGTGTTTAAGGTTTTAGGGTATAGGATTTTGGGTTTTGGGGTTTGGGTTTGGTTTGGAATTTAGGGTTTAGGGTTTTGAGGTTTAGGGTTTTAGGTTTGGGTTTTGGGGTTCGAGGTTTGGGGTTTGGGTTTTAAGATTTGGATTTTGGGGTTTCGAGTATTAGGTTTTAGGGTATTGTGTTTAGGATTTTGGATTTTCGGGTTTGGGGTTTCGGGGTTTAGAGTTTTAGGATTTAGGGTTTTGGTTTTCGGTTTTGGGATAGGGTTTTGTTTTGGGGTTTGGGATTGGAATTTAGGGTTTTGAGGTTTTGGGTTTGAGATTTGGGGTTTGGGTTTGGATTTTGGGGTTTCGGGTATTAGGTTTTAGGGTTACGGTTTTAGGGTTTTGGGTTTTAGGATTTCGGGTTTAGAATTTTAAGATTTAAGGTTTCGGTTTTTGGGTTTAAGGATTTAGGGTTTGGGTTTAGGGGTTAGGGTTTTGGGTTTGGAGTTTTGGGTTTAGGGTTTTAGGATTTGGGGTTTTGGGATTTAATGGTTTATGAAATTGTTTTTCTAAAATGACATTATTTCTTTTTTTGTTTTTGGGAATAGAAAAGTAGATTTTTTTTACTTTTTATTTCTGTTCCAAATCTATTTCTTGGCCTCTTTTCTATTCCGGAGAATAGAAAAATTAACTGACGTACACAAACGGATTTACGTTCTTTTTCTGTTCTAGGGAACAAAAGAATAGAAAAACAGATAAATAAAAATGTTACCAAACACGCATTTAATGTACCCCCAAGAGTCATACCCGTTCGAGAAACATCTAGCAAACATAAATATGCTGTTAGCTTGCCTGATTACGGGATGATATCGTGAGGTCCATCTTTAATTTCTCCTTTCCTACGTGAGCACGATGCCATGAAGAGAAAATAAATTTCGTGTGTTGCGCACGACAACCACGATTTCCCATGAAGAGCAACAACCGGCTATCTTAACAGCTGAGACATCGTCCCTGTTTCCTTTGTTGATCGTCTCTCTTTGGCAAAGCTGCAGGGCCATCACTTATGTCGAGAGCCATCCTGCTGACCTCACGACAGATCTGAGATCTGAGTCAACACTTCCGTGAAGGCACTCTTGACATTAAGTGCCTCTAGAGCATAGTAGTCCACAAAGAAAGTGCATCTCTCGTGGAAACGGCTTGGAGACGATGCAGGTCTGCCTAGTTTCCAATGAGCATGATCACGACGTTGGCCTCGTGGTGTTGCAAGTATCTTTTAGCCATCTTTCCACATTCTCAAACATGACATGCCGAGTGATATGATAGGCCGGCTGTGCCTTGATAATATGCACTCCTAATTGCACGATCTCTATTAGCTATGTCAAAGGATATTATGAGACAGTGAACGAAGTGGGATCAGATGGAGTTTTGGTTTCGATCAAGTCCATGAGATGAGAGAATTTTTTCAACAACACCAAAACAACCAAACTCTGAGTAGAATGGAACTGAAAAATGAGTATATGGCATGATGAACTAATGCAGAAGGAAATATAATCGGTAAAGTTCTTATATCTGATGATAACTTTCAGTTCATCCGAGAAAGCTGGTCTTTCTTCATAAGGAAAAAAGATTCAATACGTGAATTGCTGAAGTTAATATATATGATTCTATGACCATAACTGGAAAAGTTTCCGTTGGCCCTAGTGTTAAGGGAAATGTTTCCGGATGTTGGTCTTGGGTTCAAACTCTCTTTGAGACTCCCGTCTACTTTAAGCAAACAAATGTATCATCTCAGAGCCAACTCTACACTGAAATTGGCTCTGGATGGCACGATTCCTCGGTTGCATTCTGGAACTAAAGCCATCTTCAAGCATTGAACTCAAATGCTTCACGACTTGGTTAACCAAATGGGTTATTGCTATGTCTACTTAAGTATAAATCTGCTGCTTTCTTATTAGGTTTTCACCACCACATGTTCATGTTTGGTCTTGGATGACATTGTATTTTTCATTATGTATTCTGAAGATTGAGACTACCACTGTGGCCCTACATTTTTTATTCAAATTAAGCAAGGAGCTAAGGCCCGTGTGCTCGATAAATTAACTGGGACGTAGGCACGATGACAGTCCTAACCCGATGCACTTTCACTTGTTCCAGTTGCATCTAATGAGTTTCTGATTGATAATTGATCTAGATAACGCTCCCTAGAAGCAGGAGAAACAGGAAGAGTTACAGAGAAAAAACAATAAGAAAACAACATAACATGAAGCAACCGTGTCCACAATTAGGAAGTCCAGTTGGGTTTAGCAACAGCTTGCCTTAGTTTCCTTGGGGCTTGTTTTGCATTTGGCACCTATGCACAATCTGAATAAAAGCATAGGATGCCTGCAAGCAGCAAACCAAGGAAATAGCATTAGGCCATTCAAACTCAACTTCTTGCATTTCCAAAGAAATTCCCTCTGCGTTGTCCTCTTATCACTTCAAACTGAATTTGGCAGTATATGCTTGTAGTCCTAAGATGGGAATCATTGTATAGGCGTGTACTGAACTAATGTAAAAACAATTTTTTACTTTTTCTTGCTGCTGATAATAGCCCTATGCAGAAAAAAGAAAACAGAGAGAAAGGAAAAAATAAAACAGAATTGCACACAGAAAACTCAATAAATTGAGACACAAAAAACAAAAACAACTAAGGTGACCCCTGCCAATCTAGTGACGGTGAGGAAGACAAAACAGAACCAGTTGCATAGATGATGCAACAAGCTAATTCAAAAATGCTCCCAAGGAGTAAACTACGATAAGAAGGTCCGGATACATGCTGTCATAAGAAGAGCAGTGTCTCCAAGCACAAAAAAAAAAAAAGAAAAAGGAACGAAGAGTAGTGTCTTTCCAAAGACACGATCGCGCTTCAAGTTCAGCTTTTTAGAAACACAGCTTGACATCATTCGTGCCCACTAATTTAAAATTCAATGGCTCTGACATCAATAGTTATGTAACTTTTCTCGTCAAGAGGAGCAGTTTGACTAAGTCAACTTGCTCAGTTATCCACTTACTCGTTTAAGCCCACATGGATAAGAAATTTCCGAGACGTACCTTGGTTTTGGACCTTCAAGACTAAAGTATGACATCCACAGGATCATCTGCATTTTGTCGATAAGAAGGTCTGACCTAAAGCGAAATTGCGCGAGGATAGATAAACTCGACGCCGTCATCTTTCTCAAGAATGTAGAGATTAGAAAGCCCATAATCTCCAGTGAGCACGCGAGAAATTCTGGTGCATTTTAATCTCACGATTCTCAAAGAAGACAATCCTGTGATGTCGCAATCTTCACTCAAACTTTCGCAGTGGGTGAAATCCAACTCTTGAAGCTTCTCAAGATCTTTTATGGCTTCAGGAAATCCTTCTAGGTAAGTATGAACCATCTTTAGCACTTCAAGATTTTTCCATTCCTTGACAGAAGAAGGTAATTCATTGATTAAGGTGTACGACAGGTCCATTTCCTGTAGCCAAACAAGCTTTCCAATGAAATGTGGAAGCCCTTTTAGCTGCTTGCAACTTCTTAAAGCAAGCTTCCGAAGATTCTTTAATAATCCAATGGAATCAGTGACTTCACCCAATACTTCACATTCGCAAGCACTGAGAATTTCCAGTGCTGGCAGAGAGCCTTCCTCAAAATGAAGTCTTTCAACTTTAGTTCCGTAAATGAGAAGCTCTTTCAATGCTCTTAGGGAACACAGTGCTGGCGGCAAATGTTTCATCGATATGCAACGCTTCATGTTTAAGGAAACTAGATTTTCTAAGCTAGAAATGGATTCATCAATTGTTGGAGTTGATAATAAACAACCTTCCAGGATCAAGCAGCATAAAGGCATTGAGGCAGGGAATTCCAGAGATGCAGTGATCCAGGGACAGCCTTTCAGGTTCAAGACTTTCAAACTCCCAGCTTTCTGCAAAAGCAACATGATTCATATATTCAGTTACTACTTCAACTATAATGTCCTAAGAAAAAAGGTGCAGGCACATTTGTAATGAAGAAGCGCACAAGCACGTACACCCCATACCAGCATTAATCGTTTCCAGTCTTCCAAGTTCAATTCGACTGGGCTCGAACATAAGTTGAGAATTACCAGGTTCTTCATATTCAATGCAAATAACTTAGATTTCTCACGGCATCCTCGCCAATCAAGCCATACTAAGTTCGAAAGAAGATGATTCTTGGGATTTCCTTCAAGACCAGCATTATTCAACTCAAGAAGCCTCAGATTTGATAGATGATGAAAATGGTCACAATGAACACAGTCGAATACCCGTTCATCTTGATTAAAATTGAGGGTCACACGGAGAGCTTCAACCTTTTCGGTACACTGCCAATTTGGCTGAAAAAAGGGAAGTGCGAAATTAGAACACAGATATATGCAATGAAACAATAATATAACCATCGTATCTAGAGGAAAAGTTAACAAGCATAATGAAAAAATCTCAGTGTCATTTTACCATCTTTTTCCGCAATGTTGTTTGGACATCTTTGTAATCCCACAGCCTGCTGCGCTTCCCGGGGTTTTGAAGATTTTCCTTGACAATTTCTCTTCCCAGGATTTTTAATTGGTCGTGCATCGAAAACTCATTTTCTTTTCCAATTTTTAGGAAAGAAATATTTTGAAGTTCACGAACTCCTCTATTTGAAGTCGCTTGCCTTCAACACTCGTTCCACTTCTTTTTCCGGCTCTCGATCTAATTTTTGCAAAGGAGATTGCTGTGCTCTTCCAATACAAATACGATCCCACAATTTCAATGGCAAGAGGAAAGCTTTCCGATGGCAGAAGTGATGTTGCTTGGCAGAGAACGGTAGCCCTCTAGGGGATGATTCTGTCGAAAAGCATGTTCATAGAAAAATTTAAGAACATTATCTTCATCCATAGAAAAACCCTCATGTTTATTAATTTCTCCAAGCTCATAACACCCAATAACGTGGTCCTACTTCCTGGACCAAATCAAGTTAGCTGCTCAACCAATTGTTTGATTTGTCTAAAGTCGTCTACATCATCTAGGACAATGAGAATTCTTTTGGCTCGGAATAGGAATTTATACCCTCATTGGAGGACTCTACTTCGGACAGTGTCCTCTCATGAGGTCTCGAATTACTTTCTTTTGTTGTGATGCCACTCTTTTCTATTCAGTCTCATCTCGAACATCTTTAAGAAAACTGCAACCATCAAAGAGGTGACTGATTTTGTTATATACCACCTTTACGGGAGTGGTTTTGTCAATCACGCATCTCCACTTCGTCTTTTGTCCTTCCACAACTTGTCCATCCTGATTATTGACACCAAGTTTTTGCATTATCTCTCGCACTTCTCTGTCTATTCCTCCTAAATTTTTAGTAACATCTTGCTCATCAATTCTCAAGAGTTGCCAAAGTTTGAAAATGACATTCTTTACAGGTTCGTGATACCTACAAAATAAGGAAAACGTTTGCATTTTTATTGTCATAGATAAAGGGCCGGAAGAGGAAGAGCGCTAACGACCCCTCTGTACATCACGGAACGATCTGGACATCACGGAATGTTTGGGTTTGATTTTTGAGGAACTTATAGAGGGTGACATCAATTAACCAAGAAAAAATATAAGGATATGAAACATTACAAAATGGATAAGACGAGATTTACAGATGCATTGCTATTAAAAAGGAAAAAAGCAAAGTGAAATCTCCAGAAATTAATTGAACTTCAGAAGGAGCGTGGCGGGCAGCTTAATATACAAGCCAATTCTCCTATCTTTTCAGCTAAACAAGTAAAACATGCTAATGGAGCGGTCAGACTTACCCCTTGCGGACATCCTTCGTTGCCATGCAGAGATCTTCAATGGCCATATGGATTTCCTGCTGGATTTCTCTGGAAGTGGCATCAATAACCCTTCGTTGCTTATTCTGACAGGAACTTTCCATTGCTTGACTGACTTCTTTCAGGATGGAGAATAGGAAGACTGGTTTGAGATTCCAGTCTGCTCCTATAGCATCAAAAAGCTTGCTCCTATACCATAAGGGGGCCTATGGTATCCTAGACTTACCCCCTCATGGCTCTCATACCATAAGGGAGCCTACGGTATAACTCTAGGAATCTGTGATAGGTATGCTATTCCTTAATACGCGGATCTCAAAGAGACTGCCTTTTAGTCACCATATTCTTTTGATTTACACCATAGATCTGCCCTACAATCATAGATTTCTGATACACAGATTCCACATAGTAGCAAATGCAGAGCATACTATTGTTAGATGTATGCCCTAAAGTTACCATGTAATAGTTACATGTTAGGGATTTAAGTTGTACTTTCAATTACATTATTTATTTAATGGCAAGGACGCATTCATTCATTTGTCCAATTATTTAAATATATGAATGATTCCATAAGATCAGTTGTGACTGGATCTATTCTTGAGACGTTAAGAATATGTGTGACAGGTTCACAGTTAGACTGAATCTTTAAATTGTTCTCGGTCGATGGATCATTGAGTGGATATTAATGATCCTGTTGAGACCGGTGTGTTCGTAACTTCACCAATAAGTATTGGATACTTAAGGGAATGACGAGTCACGGGTAATTGGATACTGCGATACCCGAGTTAGAACACAGGTGCTTGTATCAGACAAGTTCACTGAACGTGACATGCATAGAACGATTAGCAACATGGAAACTTTTAGCATGGTCAATGTCTAATCGTTCGTGCTCTGGTCTTGTATGGATAATCCTTAGACCTGAGGTACAGTGTTGACTTGTATGTTGGATGGCTATGGTTCACAGGTGCGCATATTGCCGCTTCGTTGATTCGTCTCTGTACTTGATGGCCATAGTTCGTTCACATACGAAGTTACACGTGTGCGCAAAATGGAATCTGTCTCCTTGTTATATGCAAGGTACAATAATGATGTCCTATGCAATCTAATCTTGACATTGCATTGAAATCCTCGGCGGGGGTTGTAACCGAGAATGAATTGTTCATGTCTCATATAAAGTGCATGTCAATTAGATTTGTGCATATGATCGAATTGGTGACTTGACAAATATTCCATGGTCTTTGTTTGATCGGGACATAGTAAGGCAGAGGGATTGAATTACACTGTAACCAAAGCTGACAGGTTCATTATGTTCTTAAAACATTCACACTGTCTGGGTAGCCATGACATATTGCTAGATGTCAATCATGGCTTGTAGAACCTAGAGGTTGATCGGGACAATCAATTCTCTTGGGAGTACTAATGTGTTAGTGCAAGTCTTACTACCAGCTCAGTGATGAACCTAGGGATGTCACACACCATAACCAATTTTGGATGACGTAGTACGGAAGAGACGATATAGCAAATATGTTTGCAATCGAATTGAATCGGACTGAAATTAAATTAAATGGGATTTAATTTAATTCAATTTTTGTCATGGGCGTGTGTGCATATGATGCTCACAAAATACACATATGCTGATCATGCACTTCTATATTTGTGTATACATGTTTATATTTATTTATAAAAAAAAAAATTGTCGCATGCACGTGGCCAGCAAGCGCTGACCATGTGCATGGCACACGGTCAACAAACGGTTGCTGACCGTGTGCATGACACACACGATCAGCAACCGTTGCTGATCGCGTGCAACGTGCACACATGCGATCAGCAACTGTTGCTGATCGCACATTATTAATGATGCGATCAGCAACTGTTGCTGATATGATGAAGAAAGCGTATGCAATTAATTATGGTTTTGTAAGAGTTAAGAAAAACATTTTTTTCTCTCTTCCGACGCCGTGACTGAAATATCGAGAGTGCGAAGAATTGTCGCAACAAGATTGCTAGCACAATTTTATTGGTGATTATCCGCAAGTTCTTTCTTCCGTTCGTCGTGCGATTGGTGGTGTGTCTGAACTAGAGGTCCGACGGTTGTGGGGCTCGAACTGAAGAACATCCAAACCGAAATCGTTTTGGGCACGCTACGAGAGGTAATCCGTTTAACCCCCTATGGTCTTTCGATTTTTGATTGAAACGCACGAACAACGCCTTTGGAGATACATGTATGGTTATAATTTTCCGCTGCGTTTATATTTAATTTTAACTATGCATGTTCCGTAGAAAACCAACAATGGTATCAGAGCCAATCCTTAGGCGTTCTCGTGCGTTTAATTGATTTTGGTTCATATATATATTTTTGCGATCCAATGGGCAATTTACTTTGTTGAGAGAATTGCTTGCTCTTAAGTGGCCTATAGAAGTTGATTAATTTATATGATAAATTTGATCAACTGAACAAAAAATCGGAACTAAATCAATTTTGAATCAAAAATCTGTACCTTATTTTCTATTTGCTTTTTTCTTCTGCAAAATGATTCACGACTATGAATCGAGAGGCGACAACGCTACCGTCAGTTGGAATCACGCACGTGAAATTTGTTTCACCGGTTTTGATTTCTTGACGTGGCTTACGTTGCTCGGCTATGAATTTGATTCAGTGCAGAATTTTATTTGTGCCTTCCAAAGCTTTAAATTTAGAATTTATGGCTCGTGAGGAAGGGTGGTGATCATGGAAAAACCCCTAATCAATATGATTGATGTATGGATGAATGTATGATGATTACAGGTATTTTTGGGGTTGTAATTATTAAATGGAGGCTGCGTCCTTCTTTTTATTTCCATGTAATGTATTTTTTTTTTTAGTATAGTTTAGTATTATCAATTGTTGATGTAAACATTACATGAGGAGCAGCCATTAAAGCCGGAGAGCTCTATGGGCCCGGTACGTGAAGAGTTCAAGGATCCAAGAAGAAGTGAAGAGCGGATCTCTATTATTAAAACATTAAAATGGCTAAATGGGACTCATTGGCTCGAGACCCATTGAGCCATAATTCCATGATCACCACGTAGGATAGATTTTTATGCATTTGATATCTATTTATTTATTCAGTTGTTATGCATGTTAAACCGGTTAATGTGCAAAGTGAGACCATTAATAACGACCCAAACCTCCTTATTAATTATATTAAGTTGAAACGGGTTTCGGACTCGTGGCCTTCCATCGTCATGGTTTGGTCCAACATTATAGTGGTTGATTGACCGGCTATGGATACATAGGGGTCAATTGCCATTTATAATATTGGATCACTCCATTATGCATGTGATGTTGTGGGGTTGGAGCCAAACGATTTCCAATAACTGTTAGGTGAGGGGATCGTTTGTGTTTTCAATACTTGCATGAGATGATGTGCTAGACTTAATTATGATCATGATGTCAATAACTGTCAGGTGAGACATTCATGGTCTAAAGGCCAAAGTTATGATTGGGACTCGCATATGATGTGTTGAACAAGTTAGTTCACTCACTAAGTTAATAGAACACCAATAACTGTTAGGTGAGGTGGGCTATGGCCTGGTGGGACTCCAATCCCCACTAGTAATCTTTACCCAACAAAGATTACCGTTTTCCCATTTTAAGGAGTATGGGATTCGAAAAATTTAGTGGGAGGCACTATTTCATTTAAAAGCCAAAATGAAATGGTTATTTTGAAAGACAACGGCTAACAATTTATTTTCTGCACAGATATATTATTACTCTGAAAATGGTGACCACAAACCCATTCGCTTCTATACTTGACAAGAATTGTTTGATTGGACCCAATTTCACTGACTGGGTGAGAAATTTGAGAATTGTTCTCAATTCGGAGAAAATCGGGTATGTGCTTGATCAAAAGATGCCAGACTCATTTCCTGAGGGTGGCACCCAAGAGGAGCGTGTCACGTATGATAAATGGCGTGATGATGACTTAAAAGTTAGGTCATACATGCTTGCTTCAATGAATA